GGACCACGTGCATTGTCAGCCTGCAGTCTACCGCTGAACCACCGACGCAAACTTCGTGTGATGATACTTCGCAATAGAATGCATCTCAGTGTCATTCTTTTCTTACAGTCTTCTCTTACACTAAAATCGACATTCATTATGGCAACAAATGGAATGGGATTCAGCAAAATGTTTTCTCGGGTTTTTATCGTTTTACTTTTTCACTTATTTATTAAATTAAAGAGCACAGTGTTCTACAGAGTAACAAAAGGAGATATACTACTTATTGACTGAAATCAGTAGCCGGACACTATTCACATCAAATTACTCATATCAACCAAACAAGGAGTAAGACAAGCTGGCTGCCTACTATCGCCAATGATTTTCCTGACTGCAGTAGACTGGATAATGTGACAGACAGCGGCGGGCAGCGGGGACACAGCATGCAATGGACCCTCACGAAAACCTGGAGGATCTGGACTTCGCTGATGATATGTGTCTGATTTCCCAAAAACTGGAAGATGTGCATTTGAAAAGCAACAAGTTGACAGAAGAAGCATCCAGAGGTGATAGGACTTCAGGTGAGCATAGAGTTAACAGATGTGGTGATGAAGATTTCTGGTAAACAACAACAGCAGATAACAATCAGCCAGCATAAATGGGAGGAACTTGAAAGAAACAACCTCCTTTACCTACCAAACTGAGAAGCATCGTTTCAACTATAGGTGGACGAAACTGGTGAGAATATCAAAGCGAAGATCATCGGGAAAGCAAGTCAAGCTGCCATCAGTGTCAAGTCTGTTTGGAGATAGATCGATAGCATTCAGCATGAAAATGATAATAAGATCCGGATTTTCAACTCCAATGTGAAGTCAGTGCTACTCACTATACGGATGGATCAGAAACTTGGCGCGTCATAAAGAGAACCTCAAACAAACTACACACCTTCATCAACAGCTTTCCTCGTTCAATACTCAAGATCATATGGCCAGCCAGAAAAGATCAGTAACAGAGATCTCTCTCAGTAAACGAACCAGCCCAGCAGGAACTAATTGTGCCCCAAATAAGCATAAAGAAATGGAGGTGGATTTGCTATACTCTGAGGAAACCATCAAGTGAGTGACATCACTAGATAAGCCATCGCTCGAGTAGAACCCTATCGAATAGGAAGCGGCGAGTTGGTCGTCAGTGCAAGGGTGACTTGGAGGGGGTCATGTGAAGAGGAGATGAAAGCATGTTGGAAGACTTGGGGCGCGGTGAAAATGTTGGCAGAAAACCGAAGGCAATGGAGGTGCGCAGCTGAATTAAAGGAAATAATAATAATCAATCAACCGGAAATTGCTAATTCACCTGCAAATTTGGAAATGAAACATGGTATGTTGTGAACTAATGTCGCCTACGAAATATGAGGCTTTTCAGATGAATTCACAATTTATACTTTCGAGGAGGCGAAATTTCCCCACAGAAATGGAAACTATTTAGATCAAAATGTATGATCTGTTTGAAATTATAAATGGTAATTGCGAAATCAAGACTAGGTGATACTGTGGCATTATATATTTAAATTAACAAATCTCCAGTTCACTAATCTATGAGCCTAGGGAGTTTTGAGTGGACAGACAGTTTTGTTCCTCCTCACACGAAAGATATGGGTTGTTGTAGTAGTGTTACTATTATTATTTTTATCATTATTCATAAGACCCCAGAGGTATATATCTACCACACTCAGTTCTTCATAATCAATTTCAGCTGGCTGCACGACTGCCTATCGGCTTTCATTTCTTGCTCACAACATGATATCCCTACATGTCACTCTAAGATCTATACCAAACTCATCAGCTCACATTTGAGTTCCCTTCGACAGTGTAAGGTGTGCTGTATGATCTGAAGGTCTCCTCAGCGTATTTCCAATCCATCTCTTTCATTATCTTGTTGGATATTAGGTTCTTGGATGGTTTGCCAACAGAACACCTTGTCCTTCATCTTTCTTAGTTGTTTGACCTTCATAATTTAGACTAACCAACAGAGTACTCTAGAATGAATCACCATACAATAGATTTAGGCGTGATTTAAGCGAAGCAGTCAGTAATAAGATGGCTGAAACATTCGCTTCACTCTTTTTCTTGTCTCCGTCTGTAACTACAAATCTCAATACATACAGAAATGTTTCTCTTGAACTGTGACTCTACAAGAACAAATGTCCTCATCCTTCTGTACCTTCCCTTTGAAATACTTTACCAATGATTTTTAATGACAAACATACATTGCATCACTGAAGGATGAAATTCATCAGTATTGTAGGGTGATAATCAACCCTAATATGAAAGAACGCTAATGGCATTCACCTACTAGTGTGGTATGCACTACTGATATGATTTGTCAGTAGTATAGGTATAAAGAGGTGTTCATTGGTATAAAAACATAAAATAACAGAGACAGATTTGACATCAAAGGAAGAGTAAGTGATACAGCGTTGCAGAGATACATGGGAGACGTGAAACGAGCAGAAAGAAACACACTACGAAGGAAGTCGAGAAGTTCCACAACATGGAAGATCTGTACAAAGGGTACATTGGCTATATCGAGATACCAAATTGCACATAAAATAGTCCTTCACTAAATCTCTCGTCATTTAACGTGACATAAGCGATGCAGCCTTAGTAATGACTATCTACCCCTTTGACATCCAACGTATTCACACATAGTAATTACTTAGTATCATTTTATACACACCATTGGTCCACCTGAGGTTTAGGAAACACTAATGGTTTCTCCCTAGGATAGTATTGTATGCAGTCCTAGTCTTGCAGAAAGCTGGAATGAGTGTTTTCAGTTCTTCTTAAAATTAATGTGTGCTTCACTATGTGATAGAATGCTCGCCATCCACGAGGATGGTCATGGTTCAACCCCCCCCTCCCCGTGATCGATACATTCCATAAGCTCACCTAGTCCGCTAACCGATAGTAGACCAGGAGTCCAAGAGAGAAGACTGGATATTGAGATTACGACCTCACCTTGCAAAAATAACACTGTCACACTAGTGATACATCAAAACCTGAAGCCGTATGTGCCACCTGGGGCACAAAGGAATGAAACAAAGTTCTACAGACCATGAGGAACTAATCAGAAGTTTTCTTCTTCAACTTCACTTATGAGCTAACATCAGTTAGAGAACCACTGGAAAACCTGGGAGTACTGGACAGCCGTTTCGTCCTATTTTGGGATTCCTCAGCAGTACGCACCCACCGGGATTCGAACCCAGGACCTTCTGGTTACAAGGCGAGCTCGTAGACCATTGAGCCACTGGGACCCGATCCAATGGTCCTTGAATTCTAACTTCTGCCAGTTCACGACATAGCGCGACCACTTCGCAATGTCTTCTTCGATGAGTTACTGCCTCATCTTCGACCTGCTGTACCCTACTGGTCACGGCTTCCCACTAGAACCCCAGGTTAACTGCCTGAATAGGGCCAGTCACTAGTGAGCATCAGATGAATTTTCAAGTATTGGTTTTTGTAGGGATTTTTTTTGATTGCATGGAGGATTTAATCATGAGCTGACATCAGTTAGAGAACCACTGGAAAACCTGGGAGTACTGGACAGCCGTTTCGTCCTAGTTTGGGACTCCTCGGTGGGTGCGTACTGCTGAGGAATCCCAAACTAGGACGAAACGGCTGTCCAGTACTCCCAGGTTTTCCAGTGGTTCTCTAACTGATGTCAGCTCATGATTAAATCCTCCATGCAATCAAACAAAATCCCTACAAAAACCAATACTTGAAAATTCATCTGATGCTCACTAGTGACTGGCCCTATTCAGGCAGTTAACCTGGGGTTCTAGTGGGAAGCCATGACCAGTAGGGTACAGCAGGTCGAAGATGAGGCAGTAACTCATCGAAGAAGACATTGCGAAGTGGTCGCGCTATGTCGTGAACTGGCAGAAGTTAGAATTCAAGGACCATTGGATCGGGTCCCAGTGGCTCAATGGTCTACGAGCTCGCCTTGTAACCAGAAGGTCCTGGGTTCGAATCCCGGTGGGTGCGTACTGCTGAGGAATCCCAAACTAGGACGAAACGGCTGTCCAGTACTCCCAGGTTTTCCAGTGGTTCTCTAACTGATGTCAGCTCATGATTAAATCCTCCATGCAATCAAACAAAATCCCTACAAAAACCAATACTTGAAAACTTCACTTATCTTTTTGCTATTACATAATATGCTCCCGCTGATATCAAAACTGTTGAGCTCACTGTCTATTGATATGAAAGTCCCCTGTTATGCATAATACCCTGATACTGACGTGTCAGAATTATTCGTCAACTGTAAAATATTCCTTACTTAAGTTAATTTTGTCTTTCTCGTTGACTGATTGGACTGGGATATCTGGTCTCTTTCGACAGCCATACCGTCTGCTATTATAACGACAGAAGAAAAAGGTCAGGCAACGGATCGTTGATTGAGAAAATCAACACATATTTCTAGATTTTTATGTACATTATTGTCAGCGGAGAAGCAACGTCTCCTGATTGGTTGTTTTCCTACTGAAGGTTATTCCGTACTGCTTGTGACCGTTTCTCAGAAAGTTAAGCCATATATCTGCGAATTGTATTTGTACACGTTAAGTCTGTTGTGATTGGTTAGTGAGTTAAGTTTTGTTATTACCTTTTGCTCATGACCCTGATTCGGGACGTCAACATCAACCATTACAAACACTTCCTTCTAATCAATCAACGTGGGGTAAATGAAATTGACTTAAAGAAGAAGTAACAACTAGTACTTGTTGCATAAAAGTTAGGGAACATGGGCCAGGCGGGTGAATAACTCCTTAAGATTTGAAATGATAGGCATTGAGTCCTAGTCTTAGTGGCAGCACCGTCACCATTCACTAGGAATTGCAGGTACATCCAGTAGAAGAGTAGTCCCTCTCAAATAGAATGGAAGGAGGTAGCTTGATGGAAGTCATTGCCAGTCACAGTCCATCGAAATATCCTTTTTTTCTCTTTTTAATTTTTTTTTCTTGTCTTTAGTGATTACTCGTGATCCTGTAACTGGTTTAGGCGATTTAGAAGCTGAATGGAATCCTTTAAGCGGATGTCATATCAATAGAAAAAGTAAGTTATGAACTAACTATACGAAAATAAAAATAAATAAATCTTCTATTCATTACTGTATTTTTTCATGAACGACAGGTTAAACTATTATTATTATTATTATTTGCTTGAGCTGCGAATGGAACAGTAATTTTTAGAAGGATATTGTCGTCTCGCTCAGCTCTTGCGTACCACCACTTAAGCTGGCTGGCTCCACAATTGTCTGTAAGAAGCCTTCATCTCTCATTGACACGACCTCCCTAATGTCACCTTTGCACCAACGCTAAACGTATTAATTTTATTGTTCCCTTGTATTCCTAGTGGAATATACGGCTTCAACTGCACGTCTCCACTTGCCATTTCTGTCTTCTGCTGTATTTTTTAACTGAATCCATCCATATTACTCCATGTTGTTTCAACCAACTCCTCTTCACACCATCTCCTCCATGTCACCCACCCTTGCACCGACGACCAAATCGCCGCGTGCTTCCCTTTCGACCTGGTCACACTCGAGAAATGGCCTGACGCGCGCACGATGTCACCAACCGGCCTCCTCAGCAAGTGAGTGTCCAATCCATCCATCTGCACTTTCTCCTGCATATTTGTTGGTTGGCGATTGATTTCTTCTTGTTTTCTTTGTTAGTGCCTATAGTTTCCTGTTGGCGATTCTTTCCGGCCAGACCATCAATCTGATCTTCAGTATAGACCCAGTGAAGACAGTTGTTGTTGATAAAGGTCTGCAACAGGCTGTTGGAAATATTCTCTGTGGCCCGCCCACCAACTTTCTGATCCGTACAGAAGAACTGACTGACTCGACGTTGTCTGTATTGAAAATCCGACCGAATTTTGTTGTTGATACTGGCTGAGTGACGAGGATTTCTAGACTGGTTTCAGGTTGATGATGAATGTGTTTCTCGCTCACCTTTCTGATTCTCGATTCTGTCCACATCCTTGTCCGTTCCGACTGCCTGTAGTTGAGACAAAGCTCAATGCTAGATAAGTGAGTGAATGAAGTAACCTCTTTCAAATCCCTCCCTCGCGTTGATGGTGATTGGCACTGGATGTTGCTGTTGTTGTTGTTGATTGGTTGATTGGTTATTTTCATAACCTCCGTCTTTTCTATGTTCACCTGGATGAATTCCTGTCTCCTCTGGTTGCTTCTTCGACCAGCTTGTGGGTTTTCTCTTCTAAGTCTTCGATTTTGTGTTACATCAAACAAAAATCATCCATGCGCGAAATCCAGGTCTTCCAGGTCGGTCTTCACGTCGGTTCAGGCTATCCCTGTCTTCTGGTTTCCCCACTGTCTGACGCATAATCCAGTCAGTCCACTACAATCAGGAATATCATTCATTGTCTGACTCCTGTCTTTACTTCAGACGCTTCGCTGGGTTTTCCGTTGTGGATCACTTGACATGTGCCGTTGTAATGGAGCAGCTGTTGAATAAGGTTGATGAATATTTGGTGCACTGTACGCCGTAGTTCTCGAGTAGTTTCCAAATTACTTCGCGGTCAACGCTGTCGAAGGTTTTTTCGAAGTCTATAAAGTTGGGGTAGTGGTTTGTTTGCCATTCCATGCTTTGTTCGATGATGATGCGTAGAGTTACAATTCGGTGAGAAGATGATTCGCCTTTCCTGAATCCAGCTTGTTCTGGATTCAAGAGTGACGTTTCCCAATTGGGTTCCAATCGACGGCTTGTCTTGCACATGATATTACCCAACAGTTTCTTCAGCATTTGTTCAGCTCATCTTTATTTTCGATGAAAATTTAGTAGAAGAATGATTGCCATTCTATGCCATGATCAATGATGATGCGTAAAGTTACAATTTTTTTCCGCAGATGACTTGTTTTTCCTGAATTCGCATTATCCCAGACGCAGTATTTACATCTAGAGATCGTGCACGAACAACTGAACGTAACATGAGTATTAAATAGGCAGTTACCGGTCGACTTACACAATAAAAGTCTGCATCCAGTGTTCAGGGATGATGACAGGTTTAGGCTAATATAATTTTACGAATTTGTCGGCCACTGGTATTACCGGAACATCTCTAAATCTTCGTGCTGATATGCATGGATGTACTGTACGAGTAAAATCTGGGAACTGATATGGAATATAATCCCCCAGTAGATAAGCTTATTTTGACATAACCCAAAATGATGCAGTATGAACAAGCGGAGTATGTTTCGCAGCATATTATACTACACATAATCATATCAGTAGTACACACATGATTTCTCAGCCTACGAACAAAAAAATTAACATTTCTGTTGTATAATTAAAGAAAACGTAATTTTCTTGATTATTAACGCACCCACACCCAACATAATAATTACATCTCTAAATACACAAGCTCATACTCACACACATCTTTGTATTATTCTGTCTAATGTATATCTTGTACACAGCATTTCCACATCGGGATCCAATCACAATGCAAGGTGATCTGGGTACTGAGTATAACTGTTTATATACAACTAAAGAATTGTCATGCAAATCGCGTGTTAGTGAGTTTAAACAAATTCTTCTGATATACAACATATTCACATATTTAAATACTAATTACATCTATTATTATTATTATTATTAATATCAATGTTTAATAGGATACAATTTATTTCACACACTTTTCAAATAGTTTCAATGATTCAATGGATTCAATAAATTTTGTTTAAATGCTTCATATTGATGGTCACATGATTTAAAATTCAAGTATTAACATTACCGATGAATAACACGCACACATACAGAAATGTTGATACAAACAGTGTGTTAGGGATAATACTAATTTAAGTAGTAGTTTTGATGGCAATAGAAATAATTACAATAAATCATATGATTCACATCAGTAAAAGTGGTAATGAGTATAGAAATCGATGAAAAAAAAAAATAATTACTTCCAGCATTTCTTTGCTAGTCATAGCAAAATTCTCATTCTCTCCTGAAAACTTAAATGAGCTTGTTAAATTCACCTACACTGCCGAAATCTTGTACAAAGTTACATGCCTCACTTCTAGGCAGGAGTTGTCAAATCGATTTAAATGGTAATATCTGTGACCACGGTGCTAGGTGGCGTGAATTCCATTCTCTAAGAGAAAGTATGCTCTGCTGACGTCTGATGTGCTTCGAAGTCTACGTAGTGGTTGAGATGATTTTCTAGAGTAGAGCCGCGCGCCCCACTATCAACCGTCGCTTGGGTGAAATGATGGATGAGACAAACACACTGTAGAGACAGCTGGAAGACATTACACGGCAGGAATGCATTCGAACACACACACACGGGAAACGACAAATTAGGCGTTGGTCCAAGGGTAACATGCAGAAGAAGAACGTATAACGAAAAGAGATGAAAGCTCATAGGCAGTTGTGAACCCTGGACTAAGAAGGACTGCGGTTTTTTCGCTGAGAATTCAAGAGAACAATAATAATGATAATGAGTGCTGATAACGGTGAAACAGAGGTTTAGAGCTTCTTGTCGATATGCCTCCAATCACCTGCGATAAATTCAGAATAAACTCTATGTTGACGTTGGTTTAGTAAGTTATAGAATTAGGATTGTCACATAAACTCGAAGACTTGCAGGGGAAAAAACCAATAAATTGGCAAAAGAAGTACAGAAGACAGGATTTCAAGTAAGCATAGAGAAGATGGCGGTGACGAAAATAACAACAAACAACAGACAACTGCCAGCACCAATCACCATCAAAGTGGGAGAGATTTGACAGAGGTTACTTACTTCAGTTATCTAGGAAGCACGGTTTCAACCACAGGCAGTCGGAATCGCAAGATACGCCTTTCTCAACCTGAAACCAGTTTGGAAATCTCCGGCACTCCACAGCACAGAGAACAAGATTTCCATGTGAAGTCAGTTACTGCTTTGATTTGGGTGAAAAACTTGCACTGAGTGTCATGAAAAGCGTTTCCAACAGCTGCATTCGCTGGCTCTATTATTCTTATTATTAATATTATTGTTTCCTTGAGTTCCTAGTGGAACATACGGCTTTAACTGCACATCTCCACTTGCCATTTCTGTCTTCTGTTGTACTTTTCACCTGAATCCATCCAAGTTAGTTCATACTGTTTCAACCAACTCCTCTTCACACGATCTCCTCCATGTCACCTACCTTTGCACTGACGCCCACTTCGCCGCTTCTCTTTCGGCCTGGTTCCACACGAGCAATGGCCTGACGCGCGCGCGATGCCACCCAGCAGCCTCCTTAGCGAGTGAGCGTCTAATCCATCCATCTACACTTTCTCCTGCATATTTGCTGTTGGTGGACGATTGGTTTGTTCTTGTTTTGTTTGTTCCCATAGTTTCTTGTTGGTGATTCTTTCCGGCCCGGCATTCTGATCTTCAACATATATCCAGCGAAGACAGTTGTTGCTAATGAAGGTTGGAAATATTCTTTGTGACCCGCCCGCCAAGTTTCTAATCCATATAAAAGAGCTGACTGACTTGAGGTTTATATTGAAAATCCGACCGAATTTTGTTGTTGATGCACAGTGATAAAGATTTCCGGACTGGTTTCAGATTGATGAATGTGGTTCTCGCTCACCTTCCTGATTCTCGATTCTGTCCACATCCTTGACCGTTCCGACTGCCTGTAGTTGAGGCAATGCTCTCTAGATAAGTGAGTGAATGAAGTAACCTCTTTCAAATCCCTCCCGTTGATAGTGATTGACACTGGATGTTGCTGCTGCTGTTTTTGTTGGTTGGTTAATTATTTTCATAATCTCCGTCTTGTCTATGTTCACCTGGAGTCCTGTCTTCACTGGCTGCTTCTTCGACCAGTTTGTCGGTCGATTTTCGCTTGTAAGTCTTCGATTTTGTGTGACATCAAACATAAATCATCCACGCACGAAATCCAGGTCTTCTAGGTTGGTCTTCACGTCGGTCCAGGATATCTCTCCCTGTCTTCTCGTTTCCCACTGTCTGAAGATCAAATGGCCGGTCGAAAAGAGTTAGCAACAAGAAACTCTGGTAACAAACTAACCAGGAACTGATCGCTCAATAAATTTTCCTAAGAAACTAAAGATGGATAGGACATATACTGAGGGGACCATCTAAGGAGATAGCACATCAAGTCATCTCTCGATTGGACTCCGAATGGGAAAGGATGAGTAGTGCATTCAAGGTTGATACTGAGGAGATCGCATATGGGGGAGAATAAAGACTATTGGAAATCGTGAGGCCAGCTAAACAGGACTGCAAATAATAGGATAAAGTGGATTTGTGCTGTTGGTGAACACCTTCCAGTCTGGTTAAACAAAGATGTTTTAAATTCCGTGAATAGCTCTTTACTAATCCACCTTCTCCTAAAAAAACAAACATACGGCTAAATAGCAAAGAGAAGACATTGTCCATTATTCATCATTATTCTACCAACTCACCGAAATCATAAACACTGTGCGTTGGTGGCACAGTGGTTAGGACTCTCGCCGACCATGCACATTTTCCGGGGTTCAATCCCCTGCCGACAAACACCTGATATCAATGATCAGCTTGTGAAATTCGGCCTACAGATATCATCTGCTGAAAATTCCATACCTGTACCAAATAATATGGTCTGGAATCAAGGTATAATAAAAATTAAAGAAAATTCTGCAGACGTCACAATCATCAGTAGAATTTCAAATAGAAATGACCGAATTATACAACCAAAAGAAAGTGAATCCAAACGTCTATCGTTATCTTGGCGGATTTTAGAATCAAGAGAATTTCAGGCATCCTCAACCGATATGAATAATCTGGGCTTTTAGAGGAATCTGCGGCGAGTTTTCCCTAGGAATTGCGTCAAAATCAAACTGCAAAATATCGAATGTGATTAAGTTTATTACTAGTTTGTCCAAGAAGCTGGATCTAAACTGATTCAGCTTTATAAACTGTGGTGAAACTCTGTTGAAATCCAATTCAAACAAGTGAAACGGTCCACTGGTGTTTAGATCACTTCTATATGGTTCGAAAGTACTAGTACTGTGGTAAGAACTTTCTGCTAGCCAAATTATTTATTATTATTTCCTTTAGTTCCTAGAGGAACATAGAGATTCAGTCGCGCGTCTCCATTGCGTTCGGTTCTCTGCTAAAGTTTTCACCTGGCTCCACGTCTTCCCACATGATCTCATCTCCTCTTCACATGAACACTTCCAAGTCACCTCTACACTGACGACCAACTCGCCGCTACCCTTTCGGGTTCCACTCAAGCCATGGCTTGTCTAGTGATGTCAATCACTTGATGGTTAGTTTTCTCAGAGTATGGCCAATCCACCTCAATTTCTTCCTGCTTATTTGTTGCACAATCGGTTCCTGCTGAGTTGGTTCGCTCGTTTCCAGAGATCCCTGTTGCTGATCTTTTCTGGCTGGCCATCTGATCTTGAGTAGTACTGAGGGAAGACAGCTGTTGATGAAGTCCTGTAGTTTGTTAGAGGTGCTCTTTATGATGCACCAAGTCTCTGATCCAACCGTATAGTGAGTAGCACTAACTTCACATTGCAGTTGAAAATCCTCATCTTATTTCCATTTTCTTGGTGAGTGCTGTTGACCTCCACACATACTTGAGAGTAATGAAAGCTTGTCTTACTTTCCCGATCCTCGCTGCTTTGATATCCTCGTCATTTCCGTCCACCTGTAGTTGAGACGATGCTACCCAGATTGGTAGGTAAAGGAGGTTGTTTCTTCCAGATTTCCCCCATTTATGCTGGCTGATTGTTGTCTGTTGTTGTTGTTGCTGTTGTTGTTGTCCAGGAATCTTCATCACCTCTGTTTTATCTGTGTTCACCTGAATTCCTATCTTTGATGCTTCTTCTGTCAACTTGTTGCTTTTCACTGGCATATCTTCCAGTTTGTTGGAAATCAGACACATATCATCAGCGAAGTCCAGATCCTCCAAGTTTTTCTTGAGGCTCCATTTTATGCCTGTTTCCTCATTGTCCGCTGTCTGCTGCATTATCCAACTTACTGCAATCAGGAAAATCATTGGCGATAGTAGGCATCCTTGTCTTACTCCGGTCTTCACTTCTTCGAAGGATTCCGTGAGTTTCCCGTTGTGGATTACTTGACATGCAGCAGCCTAATTGGCAGACAGCAGTTTACGTCAATGTTTACCCGTCTATATCTTTGTCATGGGAAAAAAGAAACAGGAGCAAAAACTTACTCAACAACCAATCACTGTAGACTTAGCGTGGGCGGATACGATTCGTAGATTTACATGGTCTGATTTTTAAAGATATGTCCATTAAGAGACTATAAAATGACCTTCAGCGAGAAAACGACCAATCAGAAGACTCTGTTTCTCTGCTAATAATACGAATAATATATATATATATATATTGATTTCCTCAATAATCGATCCGTCGCTTGGCCCTTGTCTTCTGTCGTTACGGTACTACTTATATCAATCGGCCAGTAGTATATATATATACATATATGTATAACTTTTTGATTCTTTCCCTTTAGACATAATATTTTTTTAAATATTTACCTGATGCATAAATAATCATACTTTTTAGATTCAACAGGTACAAATCAGGCTAACAATAACTATTATGAAGAACAGTTGAATAGCGCAAATAACGAAACTAACAATAGTGATAGTAATAATAATAAAAATAACAATAACAGAAGTAATAATATTTCTGATCAAGGTAAACAATGCCTATGAAAGCTATAAATTGGTTGAATCACGACAAATATATATATATATATATATATATAAATTCTCTATCCGTGTATATAAATATATATATATATATATATCAAATATTGACGTAATAGAAAATAATTGTTATTCAAGTGTTGGTTCGTAGGGATTTAGTTGATTGGTTACAGGATTTCATCATGAGCTGACATTAGTTACACAACCATTGGAAAACCAGCTAGGAGTACTTGAAAACCGTTTCGTCCCACTAGTTTGGGACTTTTCAGCGGTACATTCCCACTGGGGTTCGAACCCAGGACCTTCTGGTTACAAAGCGAGCTCGTAGATCATTCAGCCACTGAGAACCGATCCAACGGCCGTCCAATGAATTCTAATTTCTGCTTATTCACGAAATAGCGCAATTTATAGATACTTTTTTCGGCTAGTATTTGTCCTCACTCCCGACCTGCTGTACCCTAGTGGTCACAGCTTCCCACTAGAAGCCAAGGTGGATGAGTATTGCAGAAGAGTCCCAAACTAGGACGGAGCAGCTGACTGTTCAGTATTCCTTGTTGACTTTTTATTGGTTCTGTTATTGATGTCATCTCCATCGATGACATCCTCCAACCAATCAAACAAATATTTGAATTTCAAACTGATTATTGTTGACAAATAACAGGTGTTACATTTTTCACAAGAGGTGACCCAGATGGCCTAATGGATAGAATATTTGGCGTTCAAAATGTCGGGTGAAGGGGTCGACTTGTAGGATGGACATCGCCACAGCAACGATGCAGATATGTCTGACTGACGATTCCAAGAAGAGACAAGACATGTAACTTGAATTCTACTGCTAACAGTTATCAACCAAACCAATAACACACAGTATATGTACAAGGTGACAATATAATGAATACTGTTGAATGACTCTGTTCAGTTGTAGTTGTTAACGTTTAGAAAAGGGTTGATTCTTTCCCCCAGTGTAATTGTTAGCAGATAACTCGCACACTTTACACAAACAATAAACATATTCTTTTGTAAACAAAGAATAAACCACTATCCGTTACCACTTTCCTATTGTCTATTTCATAGATCGTGATCCAGTAACCCTTCAAGGGGATTTAGGCGAAGAAGTTGATTTCTTTCGACCACACGGTGGTAAACCAAGGCATAGGATTGAAAATAACATTAATACCAGTAAGTTCTAATGATTTTTAATATATTTTCTGTGTGTGGTAAAGTTTCTAATAGCGGTTTTAAAGATTTAGTGGTGTGAGATTGCCAGCCCCACGCCCAACCCTCACTCTTTACCCGGCTAGAAAACTAGCGAGCTAGTTAGCAGCCAGCACCTGTCACCATCAACGAGAGAGATTCACTTCCTCCACTTATGTGGGAAGCATCATTTCATTTGAAGGCAGAATGGACGGAGATGTCAAAGCTAGTCAGAATCGGAAAGGCAAGATACACCTTCATCAACCTGAAAGCAGTTTGGAAATCTTGTGTGATAGCTCAGCGTAAGGAACAGGCTTCAGATTTTCAACACCAATGTGAAGTCGGTCACTTCGTTCCTCTATACGAGAAACTTGTAATGCGTATCACGCAAAGAGTTTCCGATAGGTTGCAGGCTTTCATCAACAGCTGCCCGCTTCTCTGGCTCCATACTGAAGATCAAATGGCCAGGAGGAATAAGCAACGAGAAACCATTGGAACAAACCATCCAAGAGCCAATCGCTCAACAAATACATAGTAGAAAGTGGATATGGATGGGGTATACATTGAGGAGGCCACTGAATGAAATCATGCACAATGCAGGCTCGAGTGGAATCCCAATTGGAAGCGACGAGTGGGTGAGGAAGAGATGAGAAAGTTTTGTCAACTGTGAACCCAGCTGAAGAGAACAGCAAAAAATAGAAGAAAGTGTAGATGTGTTGTTGAAGCCAGACGCATGTTCCACTCGGAACGCAAGGGAATAATAAAAATAAGTTCTAATGATTATTTTTTGTGGATTGTTAAACATACTACTGAGTATGATATGAGTAGTTCGATTACAGTTCCCTTTGATTAGCTATAAATTTCATGCATCGAAATGGACATCTCTGGATATCACACACTCACATTGTTACTGTAAAATCGAATTATCACTTCATATACTTTTTGACGCGTGTCTTTACTAATCGCTTTGAATGAAATCCTACTAATTTGATCGCTAGCTTAACAATGGAGGCTTTGTAGTGACATACCGTCATCATGAGAGAGTTAAGTGATATCACTGTTTGGGAACAGCAGTGTTCAAATAAAATCAAACCACACAGTGATATCTCCACCAAAAATGAGTTTATACCTTTTGAAATCAAAAAAACTGTTTGTCAAATAACCCGGATAATTAGTTTAGTTAAACAGGAACGACTACAGTCAGTTTGTCTGTAAAGCCGATTTGGTGATTCTTCACTGTAGCCAAAATTTAACTCAGCTATCTCCTGGAAATGTTACGAAGAGTGAGTCACACTTTTGTCGTTAACTATTATCACTTCTGAAAAGAGAGAGAGAATAGAGATCATATCCCGCGATTCAAACAAATGACGGTTTCGATAAAGATTTTTGATCACAAAGTGATATAAGGAAGAGAATCTTTGATTGCTATGGAGATTATTATTATTATTATATCCTTTAATTCCTAGAGGAACATAGGGATTCAGCTGCACGTCTCCATTGCGTTCGGTTCTCTGCTAAAGTTTTCACCTGGCTCCACACCTACCCCCATGCTTTCATCTCCTCTTTACATCACCTCATACAAGTCATCCTTGCACTGACGACCAACTCGCCGCTACCCTTTTCTGGTTCCACTCGAGCCATGGCTTGTCTAGTGATGTCAGTCACTTGATGGTTAGTTTTCTCAGAGTATGGTCAGTCCATCTCCATTTCTTCCTGCTTATTTGTTGCACAATCGGTTCCTGCTGAGTTGGTTCGCTCGCTTCAAGAGATCCCTTTTTCTGATCTCTTCTGGCTGGCCATCTGATCTTGAGTATTATTGAGGGAAGACAGCTGTTGATGAAGGTCTGTAGTTTGTTGTTGTTACTGTTGGCCAGAAATCTTCATCACCTCTGTTTTCTCTGTGTTCACCTGAAGTCCTATCATCTCTGGATGCTTCTTCTGTCGCCAACTTGTTGCTTTTCACTGGCATATCATCTTCTAGTTGGTGGGAAATCAGACATATATCATCGATGAAGTCCAAATCCTTCAAGTTTTTTTGTGGAGAGAGCTGAGTGATTATTTTATTACATCTGAAAAATATTCAATATCCTGCACCACTGAAGATAACTTGGATTCGGTCAACAATCTTCAGGTTTCAAAGCCAATCCTTATAGATTCTGTCAGTAGTTCATAACTCTGGAAGGTCTTAAAGATTCTCTCTGTTCGACTCACTCTGTCTTGTAAACAATGTGATGGTTTATCCGAGTAGTTTCATAAGGAAACATGAAAATAGTAGAGAAAAAACCTGAGACTCTGACTGCATCTAAAAAGCCTCTGTTTATTAAGTGGTGACTTATCAGGTGAGACTTTGTTCCGGAGACCTTCCAGGAGTATAAGGAGAACGTTTTACACAGCATACCTACACATACCTACACAGCATTCTCTAGTCGACGAATGATTAGGACGCAAACGAAGGATAAGCTCCATAGTTTTGCCACATCTGTGTGCATTTATCAATTCAACTGCACCTGCGGTGACAGTTATGTTGGCCGTAATAATAGACAGCTTAGCCAACTACCGTGTTACTGAACATCTCCCATCGTGGTTTGGCAAAGGACAGCCAAAAACAATCCGTACCTCCATTTTGTCACATTTAGTTCATAGAGGTCATGTAGTGGAGAAAACGAGAGCTTTCAGAGTTATTCATTGTACCTTACCGAATATTTCTAATAGACTTCGTATTCGTCTACCGCACACAGCTGAGGCAGGCGATAGGCATTCGAACTTTTAAGCTTAAACTAAGTCATTATCCCTCTCTTGGCCTATCAAGACATAACCAACTGATGACTTCTACACCACGCGCCTAACTTATATTATATTTTCAACCCCTCTCCTATCCCTTAATCTTACCACATCTTCATTGAAACGTATTTTATTTACTTCTCTTACGTAGTGCGTTCACTTGTTTTTACTAGCCTTTACCGACTACTTCCACCTGAACATTCGTTTGTTTAATTATACTGTTTTTTTTTCATTATTCATATTATCACAGATTGCCTCACTTTTTCATCATTATTATTGGCGCAACCATTATTATTATTATCACTGGCATTACTACTATTATGATTAATTGCACAATTTATATTCACCATCTTATTATCTATCGTATTGACGAAACACCATGATTGGTTTATGTATTTGAATATTTGTTTGTAAAGTTATGTAGGCAAATTGGGGTTAAGCCTGATGATAAGATTTAATCGTAAGCACAATATTATTGTTCTAACTAGTTATATGACTCGTTTTCAGTATAATGGTCAGTTGGGTTTAATAGTTTTTGAATACTCAAACTTTACTATTATTACTATTCGTCCCTTGAGTTCCAAGTTGAGTGAAGGGTTTCAGCACAGTATCTTTATTGTATTCTGTACTCTGAGATCGGTTTTTAGTTGGTCCTAACGGTACCTACCCGCAGACTTTCGTTACTTTCTTTCCATAAGATCTTCTCCATGTCACATTCAGAATCCACCCTCAACTCTTAGCTTCCCGATGGTATTCTGTCAATGGTGTCCTCAACGTATGTCCGATCCACCTATGTTGGTTGGTTAATAGATACTTGGTTGATTTGTTATCAAAGATTTTTGTTGCTTATGTTTTTTTAGCCGGTCACCTTATCATCAGCATCGAGTAAAGAGTACAGCTGTTCCATATTAATTTGTTTATTAGATGGATATATCACACAGTGAAGAAACAGTATTATTGAATTGAATCTTTGGTTTTCCCGTCAATTGATTGGACCGAAGTGCTCGGTCTCAGGTTGACATGTCGGCTCCTTGTGCAGATGCTTCGACGATGTCCGGGCATTTAGTTAGTATACAATTGGTGGATGGTGGCTAGCAGTTCGAGCCTCGGTGGGAACATCATCACTCACTGAGAAATGCAGGTACATCCAGCTGACGAGTCCTAAATAGGACGAAATGCACATCCTGGATTCCACTGCTAGCCACCATCCACCAATTGTATAAGAAACAGTATTATTCAATACTGAGAGACAAGGTTTTGAACACAATTTATTGCGGTTCATAACCATATCATCAATTATAATCACACGACTTCAAAACTTGAGTTTTATAGTTTTCTTTATTCTCTCCTATTTGTCGTCGTTGGAGTAGTAGAATTTTCCAGATCTCCAACTAAACAGGTGTTGAATCATTCCTATTACACGTATTTGCAGTTGATTTGATAAACAAAGCTTCTGCTGTCATCAATCTCTCCCTCAATTCACCCTGTGACATTAGATTTTAAAACTGTCATCTTATCCCATCTCAGCCTATTGCATGGTTGTGTGTAATCACGTGCAATGAGTGGCATAGCTGAACTATTCTCTAGATTTCTTATCTTACTCGAGTCAACTAATCTAGATTTTGTTAGGTTTTTATGTTCGGCTAGTCTGGCTGCCCCTTTTCTACTACTCTGACTTATGTATTTGACCTGACAATCATTGCTGGCAGGGTATTAGATAAACTAAATAGTTTTGTTTTAAAGGCTCCACAGGATTGATTCTTTCACCGACAAAGCTTGTTTCTAATTGAATTTGTCGGTTTGAATGACAGTCGCTTTTATTCCTGCTGTTTACAGCTGTTGATAAAAGTCTATGGCCTCTTGAAAATAGTTTCCGTGATGTACATGCCAAGTCTGTGAATGAAATAGAAGCGCTGACTTGTTGTCATTCGTGTTGAAAAGCCAGATCTTGTACTTTATATTGGGTACCGTAGATTTTCAAACTGATTTCAGATCAATAAGAGTCTGTTTTTTGCCATTTTTGATCCAAATATGAAAAAGGAAAGTGAAATTCTGTCAATTACACAAATTTCATGGAGGATTTCATCATCAGCTGATATCAGTTAGAGAACCACTGTTGAGTGCGTACTTTTGAAGAATCTCAAACTAGGACGAAACATCTTTTCAGTACTCCTAGCTGATTTTTCAGTTGTTACACAACCAAGACGTTTGAAAGTAATGCTGACTAAGAAGAATAGGAAGAGCTACGTAAAATACAAACAAGTTAACGTCAATTTTATGTCCTGTCCCTATAATATGTTTCACAATAGAAGAGCCAGCTCCCCTGTTCTCACCAATAATGCGGGTTTGGGGATTCTTTTTGCTTGTGAAGCCATTTAGGAAGTTGCTTTGAAACCACCCCTTAATTGCAGAGATCGATGAGTCCTCCTTATGTGTGTATGTGGCCATACGTACATTCAAAATGGAAAATATATGGAGATGACACACTTGATTAGGAAGAAAGAAAATTAACCCAAACTCCAGTTGATAATAATTATCCAGACAAGTTCATCAAGAGATATAAAGTAGTCAGAATACCAAGACCCATTCTCGAACTCGCTGCCAAGTAAGATGTGCATATCAAACTACCTTATATGGGGGATCAAAGCAGCTTGACTACTAGACAAAGATTGAACGCTGCTGTTAAGAAAAGACATTTTTGCGGCTAATATCATAATAATTGAGAATGTGAAGCCAATATATCCATCTAAGCCCTTTGAACATGAGAAACATGATGTCACGTCCTACCCGGATATTTACCAGTTTGAATGTATGTGTTGTCACACACATACATTGAGAGGCCTCATCAATCTCTGCAAGTAGGAGCTGGCTTCACAGCATATGCCTAAATGACTCCAGAAGTAAATGGAATCCCCAAAACCCATCATTGGTGAGAACAGGAGATCAATGACAAACACGTTAATAGGGTTGATACAAATTTCTTTTGAACACACACACAGATTTGGCTTGTTCAGATGAATTCCGATTGCCTCTGCATATAGCAGAGGTAAAAGTCGTACTCGTAGACCATTTGAGAGGTTGAGTGATATACGATAAGATACGAAGAAACTAAGATGAATTTCCACCACGAACTATAATTTTTAGATTGTAAAATTTATTCCTTCAGTCATCAGGTTGCCCAAACATCTACATAGCCAGAATTCGGAAGGTATGAAATTATTTACTTCTCTGAGGTGATTCATACCAGGTAGAGTTTTGACCATGTCAGTTCCAGTGGAACGTAACAGCTATCCAGCATTTAGATGACTTCAGTCTGGCTTGCAAGAACCATATGTTGACGTGTGAGTAGTTACCGATTACTCATAGTCAATCAGTCATATATATACCATCATGAATTCATTTTTGTGGACCACAGTGTGCGATCTGAATAATTCGGTTACCAAAAGTAACTATGGCGTGATTTAACCACAAACTATGAGCTTTTTTCTTCATACCATCAATTCGTTCAAGTAGACAGTGAGAACTCCATTTGGTTCAAACCGATTCGTCTTCTTAAGCTGAGCGAAACCCGCCATAACACTGATGAACTCGGCTCCAGACAAGCAAAAGAGTTCTCCCACTGTTCAGATCTTTCCTATCTAGCTGAATAGAAAGCACTACTTGTTAATGTGAGCAGGATTCAACTACTTAAATCAGTCAATTAGTAGGGTATACGCTGATACACTTGTGCCTACTTACTTTCTGCCCTATCAAGGAAGGAAATCAAAAGATTAAGGCTACAGTTTCATTAGTTCTACGTCATATTTAGATGAAAATTCATATTCAGGCAGAATTCACTTCTACTTATCAATAACTATTTTTAAATATATTAAAATGATGTCAATCATAGATCTGGTAATTGGTTGGTTTATTGATTTTGTTAATTACTTTTTCTCTTCTCATACTTTAGAGGGAATAATTTACGACTAAGTATTATATATAAATATATATATATATTACCAGCTGAGAGGTATGATTCTTTCTGTGTAATTTAAAAACAGAGTTAAGTAATGTGTAACGAACGAGGAGGAACCCCATTAAAACAGTAATATTTACTGAATAAGTTGAGGGATTTCATCATGAGCTGACATCGGTAAGACAACCATTGGAAAACCTGGGAGTACTCGATGGCCAGTTGTTTCCTCCGTCTTAGCTTGTGACTCTTCAGTAGTACGCAACCACCACACTGGGGTTCGCACCCAGGACATTTCGGTTACAAGGTGAGCGAGCTCGTAGACTATCAAGCCATTGGCCCTGATCCAATTGCCAGTCCACTAATCCTAATTTCCACCAATTCATGATATATCACGACAACTTCTCCATGTCTTCTTCTGCCTTCTACTAAAACCCAAGGTTAACTATCTGAGTGTGGCCAGTTGCTAGTGAGCATCAAATCAATTTTCAATTACTGGTTTAGTAGGGATTTTGTTTTATTCGTTTGAGGATTTCATCACGATAAAGTTTGTTTTAAATAGACACTTATTGTTGTTATTTGATGGATGATGACTAACAGTGGGATGCATGATGCCCATTCTATCCTGTTTGGGACTGTTTATCAATCTTGACCCACTTTTCAGTGAGAGATGGTGCTCGCACTCAAACTTTAATTCAGTGCCCATCGTTCCAATCGCCGAAACTTTATTCACTAAGCCTCTTCGACCAAGGTTACCACCTCTTATCAAACATATATCAGTCATTATAATATCAAGTTTATCCTCAGATATCATCGAAACAGCCTTATCAGAGTCAGATATGTTAACAGAGGTCAAAGATCCCTGTGTAGTATAATCAATCAGCTAGAATTGCGAAATTAACATAAACAAAACATGTCAAGTTCATAATCATCTCATAATTTTTAATGACTAAAAATTATACTACTTGTTAGTAGCGTAAAATATTGCCATAAATTTGCTCACCTTGATTGATTTTCTGAATTGTTCCATTCCATTGATATAATTATGAATAGTAATACATTTTGCTCAAAATCTTATCCAGTTATAAATGCTATTTCCGTGCCTGTATGATATCAGATAAATTTTTATCTAATGCAGCAGAAGATAACCAACTAAAAGTAACATGCACCAATCACCATCGGGTGGAGAAATTTGAAAGATATCTCTTCCTTCACTTATCCAAGGCCCCATAATTTCACTTACAGGTGACGGTACCAATAAGGATTTTAAAAACTAAACAGAGCCGAGAAAGGCAATACAGAACTTCATCACTTAGAAATCAGCGATTTTAAGTCAGTCACTTCTTCTATATGGTTCAGGAATTTAGCGGCAACCTCAAAAAAAGCATTCCGCAAAGCTTCTGTCGTTGGCTCCATAATGAAAATCAAATTAACAGAAATAATTAGAAACAAGACACTATGAGAACAAACTATCACTCAGCAAGCATGCAAGAGAAATTGGAAATGGAACTGTGACATGCTGAAGAGATCACTGAATGACATAGCGCGATAGGCATAACTTTGCCTGGAACCTGGATGGGACAGAGTGACTCGGGCATAAGTCGGAGGGTGACATGGAGAAGATGGAAGGTTATAAGCAGTTGCGGAGTAAGCCAATAAAAAGGACTGCAGGACACTGTGGGAAATGGATATGTGCTGTTGAATCTGTATGTTCCCTTCTGAACCCAAGGGAATAATAATAATAATAATAAATAATTATTAATACGGAATAATGCATGCCAACTAATTGACAACGGGAAATTCACGGAATCCTTCAAAGAAGTGAAGACGGGAGTAAGACAAGCTGACTGGTTGCCTACTATATCCAATGATTTTCCTGATTGCAGTAGATTGGATAATGCGACAGACAGCGGCGGGAAGCGAGGAAACAACCATGAAATGGACCCACAAAAAACTTAGTGGAACTGAACTTCGCCGATGATATATGTCCGATACCCTAGAAACTGGAAGATATGCAAGTGAAAAGCAACAAGTTGGCGATAGAAGAAGCATCCAGAGATGATAGGACTTCCTTCAGGTGAACATACAGAAAACAAATGTGGTGATGAAGATTCCTGGCCAACACCACCAACAGCAACAACAACAGACAACAATCAGCCAGCATAAATGGGAGAAATCTGAAAGAAGAAACTTCCTTTATCTAGACAAGCAAGACAAGCTTTCATTACTCTCAAGTCTGTGTGGAGGTCAACAGCACTCACCATCAAAAATTAGATCCGGATTTCCAACTCCAATGTGAAGTCAGTGCTACTCACTATACGGATGGATCAGAGACTTGGCCCGTCATAAAGAGCTTCTCAAACAGACTACAGACGTTCATTAACAGCTGCCTTCGTTCAACACTACTCAAGATCAGATGGCCAGCCAGAAAAGATCAGCAAAAGGGGTCTCTGGGATCAAAATATCAGGAAATAATTGTGCAACAAATAAGCAGGAAGAAATGGAGGTGGATTGGCCATACTCCAAAGAAACCATCAAGTGATTGACATCACTAGACAAGCTATCGCTCGAGTGGAACTAAGCCAAAAGGGAAGTTAGTCGTCAGTGCAAGGGTGACTTGGAGGAGGTCATGTGAAGAGGAGATAAAAGCATGTAGGCAGACCTGGAGCCAGGTGAAAAACCTCAGTAGAGAATCGAACGCAGTGGACACGCGCGGCTGAATCCCTATGTTCCTCTAGGAATTAAAGGAAATAATAATCATAATAAATTTCACTAAATTGCCTAAATTCTACATCTACATCAAAGAAAGTAACTAATTCTTTATGATAATTAACACAAATATTATTTGCACTCTGTTCTATTCACAGTAAGACGTGATCCTATCACTGGTACTGGAGAAAATGGTCGTGAATCAGAATCTGTGCGTCAATACAATGGTAGATTATGTAATGGAGAAAGTTCAAAAAGATATTCTTATCGTAAGTAGATTCAATGACTGTTTGATTTAGTTCTTGTGTAATTAATTATTTAAGATAATTTTAAAAAATTCTAACTAATTGCTATAGACTAAAACTGGTTTATCATATGCTAATTCGCTATTATCCGCAACTGACGTGGATATAATTCCTCGACGTTGGATGTGATCCCAAGTCTTGCTTACTTGGCAGTAAGCCTTGTAAAGAAGAGAGGCTAGCTAATCACACGTCTTATATAGTGATCATATAGTTTGCAAATAATAGCAATAATAATAATAATAGTACCCCCTCCCTTGTCTGCTACTCATTGGAGATTCCTCAGTCTTTCGTTACCTTCTGGCGTACCTTAGACTCTGTTAACTTAATACCCCAAATTCTAATAGAAATAAAAATACCTAATCAGTAAAGTTAGTGAAAGAATATGTTAAAATTTGTCTAAATCCACAATTAAAGTAGTAGACACCAGAAGTATTGTGAGAAGACTGCTCCAATCCTTTATTCTCCAATATCCATATTCCCAAAGGTCGACCAAGGTAAAGTAGGGATAAAATACAGCGTCCCTGTGAAATTTTGGAATAGAAAGTAGGTGATTAGAATTGGCCGATGGCAATTGAGATGGTGGAGAAGACGGAGAGTTGTTGTAAGCAGAACTATATTTCCATTCAAACCACAAAGTTAAGTTCAAAGTACAGTGATTCTGATTAAAACAAAGTAATGTACAATAATGTTCACTTCTCACATAGTAGTAAAAGTTGGATCAGTTTATTTTTTGAGCACTCCACAACCTTCTTATTCTTCTTGTATCTGTTCTTCATTTACTCTTCCATTGACACATAAATCTGGACTGTATACTTTGTTTGGACACCAGTCAGTAACTAGTGTGATGTGTTTAGTCTTTTCTTTGCTGGGGCAGACTGAATTCTATCAATCAGGTGGCCGCCATTCCACTAGGTAGCTCGCTCGTCATCACTGTGCACATTGATTTGATGATATTAGATGATTGGAGGAAATCGGACACAGGAAGCCCTGCCTGCTGATTCAGGTTTCGTGCTAGTTGGCACTCACAAGTTACCAAGGCGTATCTACAACCCTAAAGGAATTCATGTCTATTCTGAGATTCCAACCAACGTCACCCAGTGAACTCTGCAGTCAGAGACGTTACCACTGAGCTATTTGGGCTCGCAACTGACCTCCTTTATCCACAACAGTCCTACATGAGGTCAATTGCGAAGCCGAATAGCTCAGTGGTAACGTCTCTGACTGCAGAGTTCACTGGGTGACGCGGATTGGAATCTCAGAATAGGCCTGAGCTCCATCAGGGTTGTAGATACGCCTTGGTAACTTCTGAGTGCCAACTAGCACAGATAGGCAGGGCTTCCTGTGTCCGATTTCCTCCAACCATTTAATATCATCAAATTTGCACTGATTCTCCAAAGGTATTACTCAATTTACACTACTTGTATCCATTCTTTAAGTAGTACATACCACAAGAGAATAAAGTTTTGATTGAAATGAAATCAAACACAATGCTTTATTCTGCACACAATGAAACCGGCCATTTTACTTATGAGATGTTATTATACATCAAAGAAATCTTGCCGACAAGCATCGAAATGGGTTAACACACTTTTTTCTAATACACTGATTTGTCATGAAGAACATAAAAGACAAAATCAGCGAAGAAAATCCTCTTTACCGACGAAATCATATTCACAGTCTGTACAGTCGTATTTATATTTGTTTTTTTTTGCGAGTTGATCACGGGTTGGTATCAGTTAGAGAACTATTGAAAAACCAGCACTGGAGTACTGCCAGACAGCTGTATCACCCTAGTTTGGGAATCATCGGCAGTATGCACCCACCGCCTGGGTTCGACCACCAACGACCCTCTCCTTACAAGGCAAGCTTGCGTACCATTCAGTCACTGGGACCCAATTCAGCTGTCAGTGCATGAATTCTAACTTCTACCAATTCGTGGTTTAGCGCAACCATCAACCGATGTCACTGGTGGGAACTCCATCCTCACACCTGAATGGATGGACCTCGCTGATCGCAACTTCTCACTAGGACTCCAAGAAACTCCGTCCTGTAGCAAGTCACTCACTAGCGAGCATCAGATTAATTTTCAATAGTTGGTTGATAAGGTGCGTACTGGCGATGATTCCCAAACTAGTGGGAGAAAACAGCTGTCCAGTACTCTAGACGTTGGGTTTTCAATGGTTCTCTAACTGACATCAACAATCTGTGATCAACTCGTAAAAACGAATCTAATCCTCACAAACCAAATAAATTATTTATATTCACTAAAAGTCTATAGTAGCACATTATTGATTAACACGGGTGATATAATCGATATAAATACTTAGAAGTAGCTTCGAAAGTAAAAGTAAAAGTTATAAATTACGTAATACCCACAAGGCAAAAAGGAAGAAAGCGTTAGAAATTTGATAAAGTTAAGATTGTTGTTGAATGAGAAGAAAGGTGGTAGCTAAGTGTCCAAGTGTGAACAAATTTGGTGACGATGAAACGATCTACAAAAGGAATGTATGAGAGTGATAATAACGAATTAATTATTAAAGTAAAAGCAAACTGATAGTTAAAAATAAAAAATTTACCGGAAACGACCAGTGAAAGGGGTTAAGATCAAGGTAGAATAAGTGACTGGACAAACTTTTCTGTATACAGAGTTCGGGGTTGTATTGACGAACTGCCAGAGCCTCCGTCAAATACAATTGCCAAAACCTGACGCCTTTTGTACCATTTGACCTCACCTAGTAAATAATCTTGGAAGACGATTCTGCTGGAACAACGTGACTTGAGTTCACCAAGTGTTTTGCATTGTCCTTTTGGTAACCAGCTATGCCGGATAATGTTCAGAAATGCGTTTGGAAATTCTGTGCCTTGTGCGGCCAATATAAGTAGCTCAGCAGGAGCAGACGAATTTATAAACATACACTGAGGTGGCCCAAATCGGCAGTTTATCCTTCACACATTTCATTGATCATTTGTTGGCCGTAGAAATTGATACGTAGTTCAGCCATAAAGAAGGCTTTCCTTAGTGATCTGCATAAGCAATTCTTCAGGATCTCAGCTGCGGTATCGCCTTTAAATGGCAGTGTCTTCGGCACCGTCTGGGCTCTTTCAGGCTTTTCCCTTAAGTTCATGTTTTTTTCTCGATAAATCTTAGAGGATAACCATTCTCTATGGGGACTTGTCTGAGTCGCCCCAGTTCCCCATCGATTGTATCACTAGAGCATATCCTTCTTATGCTTGAGGATAAGGAGTGGATCAGGTTACTCTTTCTTCTCAAAGAGACCCAACTATGAAAATTTGTGTACTGACCATTCCGTGTTGGTTTCCTGTAGATAAATCAACCAATTTGGAAATCTTCTGAACTCAGCCAGAAAAAAGAACAAAAAATCGGATTTCCAACACCAATGTCAAGTCAGTCAGTTCTTCTATACGAGTTGGAAACCTGCACTGCGTGTCAAATAAAAGATTTTCAACAGGCAGTTTCAGACTTTCATCAACAGTTGCCTTTGCCGGCCCCATACTAAAGATCAGATGGCCAGCTCGTCAGCCAAAAAGAATTAGTAGCAAGAAACCCTGACTGGCAACAAATCAATAAGCAATAGCCAACCGTTCAACAAATATGTAGGAGAAATTGAAGTTAGTAGACAGAAGACAAGTAGTTCAGCGAAGATTCTCTTTTCATAGGCGAATTCATTTTCATAGCTGTACAATCGCAAATATATATGGTTATTTTGTGTGTGTGTGTGTATACATTAAATTTGTCAAACGAAAATACAATTAGTAAGTTCAGATGAATTGGATGTTGATAAGAGGATAGTAACAAAAGTGACGAGTTGTCACTGGGCCCATTACTAGCAGACTGCTTCATGGCAAGCCTCGAGAACGGCCCACTCAAATCAACCATCAACAATTTCCAGTTGTACGTTAGATATGTTGACGACATCTTTATCATCTGTGATGACGGTCACGATCTCAATCAACTACTGCAAATATTCAACAAATGCCATCCAGCCACAAAGTTCACTCTGGAAACTGAAAATGAATCTAAAATCCCTTTTCTTGATGTTGAGCTTACAAGGAGAGATGAAGGAAATTTAAGAAGGTCAATCCATAGGAAACCGACTTGCAACGGACAATTAACAAGTTTCTACAGCTGGGTACCAATCAGTCGGAAAAGAAACCTAATTAAATCCCTAGCCACTCGCGTCAGACGCATCTGCAGCTCCGACACCATGGAAGAAGAACTAAACTTCCTGAGGGAAATCTTCATACAAAATGGCTACCCACCAAGATTCGTAGAGAAAAACATCAAACAGAAAAACCAAAAGCAAGAGACACCATCCGTGCCAAAAAAGATACTTTATATGAACCTAGACTTCAAAGGAGACCTATTCAGTGACGTCCTCAGAAGGAGAATTTCCACCACTTTAGGAAGAACTTTCCCTGCGGCAACACTAAGAATAGTGTTCTCCAGTCGCCCGCTGATCTGCAGAAACCCAAAAAACAAGATTCCGCACATGACCACTTCTATGCGTATATATCAGTTCACCTGTTGCTGTGGAGCCAGGTAAATCGGTCGTTCAACGCGCATCCTGTCTAAAAGGGTCAAAGAACACTATCCAGCGTGGCTACAGAAAGGAAATAATGGCCATATAAGGAGTGAAATAATCGAACATCTCGTCAATACTGGTCATTCCATCTCAACGAACGCCTCCTTCAAAGTAATCTACAAAGTGAAGAACAACCTTCCAAAGACAGTACGATTCCGTCTTCTATGCATCGCAGAAGCCCTAGCCATCCAGTTGGAGGAACCAGAACTATGCATACAAAAGAAAATTATCCAACCACTTCTACTCGCATGGTAACTACTCCTTTGATTTGACCTAACTTTTCTTTATTTGTTTGATTTAACAATCATTTATGACAACTCATCACTTTTGTTACTATCCTCTTATATGAACATCCAATTCACCTGAACTTACTAACTGTATTTTCGTTTGACAAATTTAATGTATACACACACACACACAAAATAACCATATATATTTGCGATTGTACAGCTATGAAAATGAATTCGCCTATGAAAAGAGAATCTTCGCTGAACTACTTGTCTTCTGTCTACTAATGTTCGAATGGGAATTATTCAAGAAATTGAAGTTAGACTGACCACACTCATTGAGGAGACCCTCGAATGAAATTGTTTTCCAGCCAATCGGTCGAGTGGAATCTAACTGGGGAGCGACAAGTAGGTCATGACTTCGATGATGACATAGAAGAGATCATGTGAGGAGGAGGAGCTGGGATATTACGGGCCGATCGCGGACCCAACTGAAGAGGATGGCGGAAAATAGAAGAAAGTGGAAATGTGCTGTTGAAGCCCTATTTTCCATTTGGAACCAAGAAGAATAATAATATAAATAAATAAATGATATTTTGTAATTACTGTTTCCTGAAGACCAAAGTGCACAGTTGCTCACTTGGAAGGCGTTTTAATCATTAGCTATGAGAATTTAAATTCTGACACGAAATTTTATGAAGTAAATTAAATATGATCAAAAGAAGCAAATATATTTCCTATTTACACCATTTTTTTTAAAAAAAATTTTAGTTGCAACGGATCCAATAACACATTCACTGCCAGAGACAAAACTTGTTCGATCACAGTCTGTAAGACATTACAAAGAAACATGGGGTAAGCAGCTTTTAATTCGCATGTATGTGTTCAGAAGTGCACACTTTTTGTAGTAGCTTATTTATATACTCGTTGACTGTTGCGTCTAAGAAGACTTTTACTACTATCATTATTATTATTGTTATTACTCCCTCGATCTTCAAGTGGAACATAGGACATCAGCGGCAAACCGGCATTTTGTCTGGTTCTCTGAAGACTTTCCTAGCTGGCTTTGCGATAGCTCATAAGCTCTAATCTATTCCAAGCACAGTCTCCCTCATATCACCCTCGAACATCTGACTCTTGGTCTTCTAAACAGGTTCCGCTCCCTGAGCTGGCGCAGTGCCATTTAACAATTATTATTATTTCCTTTAATTCTTAGGGGAAAATAGGGCTTCAGTCGCGCGTTTCCATTGCGTTCGGCTCTCTGCTAGAGTTCTCACCTAGTTCCAAGTCTGCCCACATGCTTTCATCTCCTCCTCGCATGACCCCCTCCAAGTCACCCTCACATTGACGACCAACTCGCCGCTTCCCTTTCAGGTTCCACTCGAGCGATGGCTTGTCTAGTGATGTCACTCACTTGATGGTTTCCTCAGGATAATGCAAATCCATCTCCGTTTCTTCATGTTTGTTTGTTTCACAATCGGTTCCTGGTTGGTTTGCTCCCTGAGATCCCTGTCGCTGATCATTTTTGGTCGGCCATCTGATTTTGAGTAATACTGAGAGAAGACAATGTTAGTAAAGGTTTGTAGTTTGTTTGAGGTGCTCTCTTATGGCTAGATCGCCTCCCATTGCATCAGGATCTTCGTTGCCGTTGGTGACATCATGATAGCCACGCCCTCGGTGTGCGAGTGGTCGTCTTCTAGGTGACCGGATTAGATCACTGACTCTCCCGTTGACAATTTGGTGAGTCCATTCCCGTTCCGTTTGCTTTCACATATTCCCAGTACTTGAATTCCGTATCTTTTCATCTCGTTTGCGATCTGGGCAGTTTTGTCAATCTCGTACATGGTGCGGACGTTCCATATCCCCACACTGACTTTTTCTTTTGGAGCAAGGAGATTCATCGTGCTGAAGTTTCTGTAGCAAATTTGTTTAACGGGTGGGGTTGCTAGCCTCATGTCTAAGAAGGGGGTTGTTACATTAAAATACAGTTTACAAAGAATCGATCTTGTCGGTTGCTCCCCTTAAAACCGGGAAACAAGAAATAAAACAATCAGAGCAACACCAGCAAATGGAAAACAATTCACAACAGGAAGCGCAACAAGCTACAACACAGTCAGATACAGTTAACAAAATGTTACCAAAATCATAGACTCACTGACTTGAACATGTAAATCCATCAATATATACAATTATAGATATTAGTTAGTGTTAGACAATCACAAAATGGCAAGCAGATAGTTATAGGTATTATCAGTCAACAAGATTATATCCACAGATTCAGTGTTTCAAAGGCAAATAATTACACTACTTTCCGAAAGTTCTTGGCAAGAAATCCCACAGAAATAAGAGTTTTATGTTACTACGTGAATGTAGCGTAGTGATCGAAAAGCGCGTCCGACAGCAAGATATCCACTAATTCTTTGCATGAGTTCATATATCTATCCATGACAGTAGTAACAAGTTGGTTTAGTGACATCCTACTAGCCCTATTGACAGTGTTTAATGCCCTTTGTAATGTAAAAGGCAATGTAAAAGACAAGACGGAGGTTATGAAAATGACCAACCAACCAACAACAACAGCAGCAGCAACATCAAGTGGCAATCACCATCGACAGGAGGGATTTGAAAGAGGTTACTTCATTCACTCACTTATCTAGCATTGAGCATTGTCTCAACTACAGGCAGTCGGAACGGACGAGAATGTCAAATCGAGTGAGAATCGGGAAGGCGAGAGAGAAACACATTCATCAACCTGAAACCAATCTGGAAAACCAATCTTCGTCCTTCAGTCAGCATCAACAACAAAATTCGGTCGGATTTTCAATACAACCAACGTCAAGTCAGTCAGTTCTTCTATACGGAACGGATCAGAAACTTGGCGAGCGGGTGACAAAGAATATTTCCAACAGCCTATTGCGGACCTTTATCAACAACAACTGTCTTCGCTGGATCTATACTGAAGATCAGATGGCCGGGCCGGAAACAATCACCAACAAGAAACCAACTATCGGAACAAACAAAACAAGAAGAAACCAATCGCCCAACAAATGTGCAGGAGATGGAGTGGAGATGGATGGATTGGACACTCACTTGCTGAGGAGGCCGGTTGGTGACATCACACGCGCGTCAGGCCATTGGTCGAGTGGAACCAGTTCGAAATGGAAGCGGCGAGTGGGACGTCGGTGCAAGGGTAGGTGACATGGAGGAGATCGTGTGAAGAGCAGTTGGTTGAAACAGTATGGACTAATATGGATGGATGCAGGTAAAAATACAGCAGAAGACAGAAATGGCAAGTGGAGACGTGCAGTAGAAGCCGCATGTTCCACTAGGAACTCAAGGGAACAATAATAAAAAATAATAAAATGTAAAAATTAATTCGCCAAATACTTCAGGAAAAATAAAACTAGAGAAAGCGTTTATTTTAAACTGTTGCTGATGTATTTCCTTTTGTTATCCTTGTTATTTATCCACCTCTCTGTTATCCTCTCCCTTATTCACGCGTATACAATAATCATGTTCTTTTCTTTATGCCCTTCCAGCTACACGTGATCCAATCGGTTATATGCATAGAGCAAGTATATCATACAGAACGGATAGAGCTCGTGGAATGAGACACTTTCAAAACAATAACTACAACAGTTCTACTACTAGTAATAACAATAAAAGTATGTTTAATATACCTTGAAACAAAACAGTTTATCTATTTTTACATTTTTAATCGATTAACTTCCTTAACTTTAAATGGATTTGCTTTTTTTCTCTGTAGAAGACTTAATTTTCTAGAAATCGGGAGTCTTACCAGAAGACAAGGGCCAGGGAAAGTTGAGAAAGTCAACTGATATTTATAGATTTTTATGTACATTATGATTAGCGTTATTGTTGTTAGCAAAGAAACAACGTCTTCTGATTGGTTGTTTTCTTGCCCAAGGTTATCCTGTACCGTTTGTGACTGTTTCTTATAAAGTTAAGCCATATATCTGCGAATCGTATATGCACACGTCAAATCTGTAGTGATTGGTTGTTGAGTTCCTCAAGGCTAAGCTTTGTTATTGTTTTTTTTCTCATGACCCTGATTCGGGACGTAAACATTGACGTAAATTGTTGTCTACAATTTTAGCATGCAGACAGCTGGTGCTACTCACAAGAATTATCAGCAGTATATAGACTCAGAATGATAAAAAGTAGCCAAAATTGAAAACAACCTTTTTAAGTCATTGGTCACAGAAATCTGAATCTAGTCAGGAAATAATCTCAAATTCTGACCTTCAGACGGAAAGCTATCCATGGTAATTAACTGTTTTGATTGGTTGTTAACTTTCTGAAGGTTAATTCTGAGATTATTTCCTGACCACTAGTATCTTAGATACACTCACACTTTATACCAACACAAAATTAGATATTCTCAGTGTTTTGTAATTTTTTTTTGAAGGCTTTACTCACTTGCATATTATTATTATTAACATTCCATTGGATTTCCGGTAAAACATAGGGCTTCAGCAAAACATCCGCGTTATACTGTCTTCTCTGCATGCTTTTTTGTCTGGTTCCACTACAGTCCATAAGCTTTCATTTTCCTCTCATGTGATCTCCTCTATGTCATTTCCCCAAGACGAACGCTTAACTCATCGTTTCGCGTTCGGGCTTGCTGGGTGCATGATATCTCTCAGCTGTCTCCCTGGAGTATGTCTGATCCATTTACTGTATTTCCGTCTGCATAAATGTTGGATAACAGGTTCAAATTCTCCCATTTCTTCTCCTTTTGAGTCTAATGAACTTCTTGCAGGTGACAGATTTTGTAAACTTTATTGGACACTACATTTGTGATAACCAGATTAACTTTCATGGTAAACAATAGCTTCTACGTATAGTTTTAGTCTGTGAAAGTTAGCTAACAAACTCTATTGGAAACTAGACCGAAACCTATTGATCAAATGTCCACTTATCAATGCTCTCACAGACAAGTGGGATGATATTTCTGATGCAGCTCGTTTTACTACTGTCATGTAGAAAAAGCTCAAAATCTACTTGAAGCAGTTGCTACTGGTTAACACCCGACATAAAAAGTTCATTCTCTATGTTCATGTTATTATTTATTCTTCCCATAGATACTTGATACGATGTAGGGCCTCATCAGCACACTTCCAGAGTACCAAGTTCCTTCTCATTACTTTCAATCGTCTTTACAACCGCCAATAAGCTCTCGTTTCCTCCTTATACCCTATTCTTCACATCAATCTCGGACGCCTAACCCATCGCTTCCCAACTGGATTACTTTTAAGCTCGTAGCATGTATTACCACGCATGTGATAAAATCATTATCACTTCCCTTCCCATATACGTTGAGTTCGCTGCCAAAGTTTATTTTAATTTATCTTATTTTGTCGTCAGCCAACTTGAATTAGGCATCAAGTGAGGGTACTTTTTTATTTTTTTTATTTTTTATTTACAGCTTGATTCCACACTGTATTTTTGGTACAAGTATGGAATTTTCAGCATGGATATCGGCAGCCCAAAATTAGCAGGCCGACCATAGATATCAGGTGTGCGTCGGCGTGGGCTCGAACCCCGGACCATGTGCATGGTCGGCGAGAGTCCTAACCACTGTGCCACCGACGCACAGTGGTAATAGCCTGCAATAGCCTGTTGGTAATTCTCTTCCTGACTCATGCACTTATTCTTTTAATTATTAAGAATAACTTACCTAACATTAATGTTAGACAGAATTCCCTAGGTGTTCCTTGTGGTGAATACCGTCATTCCTCACATTGATTTCAGAGGAAGGAATGCCTGTCTTGTTTATCTGATCCTGACCATCTTTGAAATCATCAACTGTCCCGCCCATAGTTGAAATGATATGCACACCACACCTGCATTACATCATCACTTTAGATTACTACAATTTAATTGTCAAAGCCTTTTGTAAAAGGTGTCTTTAAGCTTTTGTGTGAACATTTTCAGACGAGATAAGCATTTCACTTAACAACTTGAACTACTTGTCAGTAGCTAAACACATTCAACTAAAAAAACTACAAAGATTTCCATTTCAATATGACAAATGTTTATTTGTGAAGATTTCACACTCGAAATTGAACAACCCAGAGATAAACCCAGCGGTGCTTCCATCTGTAATTTTTATTTGGAATTCAGGGATATTTACACTGGAGTGATGTGAGCAAACAGCCTGTTAGCTGAGGCTAATGACAAAAACATCAAAAAGTTAAGTGTACACAGTTTTGGAATCTTATATCTGATTTTCAAGCATTCACCTGGAATTTGTTTCATACTTTAAAGTCTCTTTACAAGCTGGATTTCAAGTCTACTTTCTGTATAGCTGCTATTAATGTTTAGCCTTAAACTTCGTGTGTTTGTAAGTGTGCCATATATCTATAGATTCTAAAATTATCAGTCACAAACACTGGAATCTGACACATTAGGATTTTGTAATTATGGTACTGTACAGCTCCATGTTAGATTAGTTTATGAGCCTCTGGTTCATTGGGAGAATGCCCACAAGTCACTCACATGGTCCAAGGCTCGATTCCCAGCCAAAACCTTGCTGATCCAGTTGTAGGACTGGTGAAAAGGGGGCAAGCCTGAGAGGATGAAGCTGTCAATCACATCCAGCAAAACTCCAGAACTCAAGTTTGTAGCTCCTTTTCCTACTCAGAACTCGAAAGAATAGTGGAAAAACATCTTATATAGAAATAAAGCAGTAAGAGAACTGAAGAAACAGTAGACTAAGGTATACTTATGGATGAAGTTAGTATGGTGAGAGCAGGCCGTGAGAAAATATGAGCAAGGCTGATTCAACAACCAATCACAGCAAAGTTAACGTGGCAAAATATGATTCGCAGATAGAGAACTCTATTTGTTGAGGAATCCCGAAACAACCAATCAGAAGCCTGCGTTTGTCTACCTAACTTCTGATAAACAACCAATCAGATAACTGCGCTTGTCTACTTGCATAAGCTATAATAATGTATATGAAATATGTATAAATACGTGTTGATTTTCATAAAAAAACGATCTGTTGCCTGGCCCTTGTCTTCTGTTGTTACATTAGTACTATTTCAAGTACACAAACTGAAAAATAGTTACCTAAAATAAATGCCTAAAATACCAGATGAGAAAATAAATATTTCCTTTTAAAGTACGCAGTACTTTACATCTTCTTTCCTAAGAAAAATTAAACAGAACTTCTGTACTACTATTAGTACTGTTATTTTGGTTTCCGAGTGAAATATGGGCCTTCAGTAGTACAATTCATTCATTCATTCATTATATTTCCTGAAGTCCTTTTTCTACGACTGACCATAATCTGTTACTTTCTCTTCACATAATCTTTTCCAAATCCCCCTTGGATTAATGCCCAAATCATCGCTTGCCACTTAGGTTGCACTAAAGAGCTTCAGGGAAGCAAGACATCACTCTGCGGTCACCTCAGCGAATATCCATTTCCTTCAGCATACTTGATGGGCGGTAGTTTGTTGCTTGTCCCTTCCAACCGGCCATCTAGTCTTCCTTAACTTCCGAGGGGAACAAAGAGTTTGAAGCTTCAAGCTTTGAATTCTCAGTAATGATGGTTTTGTTTGGTATGACTTCATAGGGTGGGGTTCTGAACCTCATGCCTAATCCTCCCTCTTATCCAAGCTTAGTGTAGCGAGTGCGAGCTGGGAATCGAACCGCACGTCCGGAATAGCTATCCAGCATACCACCACTTTACCATAATTATCACTAATAACAAGACTAAGAAAGGATTCAAGTTTTGGTTACAGGATTTGATTACGATCCGACATCGGTTAGAGAACCACTGGAAAACCATCATGGAGTACTGGACATCTGTTTTGTCCTACTTTTGGACTCTTTAATAGTACGGACCCAACAACAGGCTTCGAACCCAAGACCTTCTGGTCAAAAGGTGAACGAGCTCGTTGACCATTAAGTCACAGGGACCCAATTCAGCAACCAGCCCTTTGAATTCCAACTTCTGCCAATTTTTACGAGATAGCAATACCGCTAGCCAATATTATCTCTGGCGACCTGCTGCACACTAAAACTGAAGGTTTCCGAGATATCACCATTCAGAGAAGAAATCCTGGAGGACTTGTACCTCATTCTTCACTAAGACTAAAAATCGAGTGGCATCAGAACTTATAAATTCACTTAGATAAACCTATCTTCAGCATTGATTAGGATGTTTAGAAAGATAACGAAAGCTGTTCAGTTAAACGACCCAGTTCACAGGATGCAACTACACTATTTCAATCACCAGACATTTTTTTGATACGATTCATAAGGTTTGACACTGTGAAATCTTTCAAGATTATTAATAAACAGCCCAACTCTCCTCAGATTTGCTGAAGCAATAGCTACCAAACGTATAAAGCCTGACTTATGTGTTCAGAAAGATTCACTTATTATTCTTTCCTTGCCTTGGTGACACAACGTTCAATCCCTGCATCACCGCAATCAGCCTGACAGGTCTAATGTACTGGAACACAGCATTTAAAACATTCTGAGCACCCATGTGCTTCTCATATATATATATATATATATATATATATATATATATATTTGTACAAAAATCAACAGAATACAAAAGGTCAAGACTGAAGGGTAGTAGACGTGAAAGTAATAATTCAAGCGGTCAAGGTCACATAGAAAAGAAACAAAATTAGAATGATATTAATATGTAAATGACCATTACCATCAAAAGTAGTTTCAGAACACAAACAAATAGGTTTCAACCGATGGATTTAACTGACTTGAGAGTCACTGTTGGAAAGAAGAACACTTGTTGGTCATTGCATATGACCTTGGAATCCATCCATCAGATATATGAAGTCATAACCAGACATCAAAACTTGTTTCATATCCCCTGGTTCAACGAGTAACAATAGAAGACAAGAGATTTCGTAAGGAATTTGGAATCTAATATTTCTGTGTAGGGAAATTATGTACACCTCCCACACATCTTCCCTGGTGTGCGCTAATTCTGCCCTTCTGCCTTAGCACTGTGTTTCTTTATCTTCTTTTTGTGCCCCCCCTCACATTTTGCTGCAGTACTGGTTCATTTCTTCTGTTTGGCGTCAAATCTATCTCTCCACCATTTTGATATTTTTGTGTTGATGAACATCTCTTTATGTACTTACTACTGACAAATCTTGTCTGTAGCACACACACACATACATATTTCTCATTTTCAAGTATTCACCATCTGCTGCGGTAACTATTGATTTTCTTCATTTAAACAATATTTCAAGGTCACACATACAAATTCCACAAACTTTAGGATACGCCATCCCCCAAACATGTTTTATAGATAGGTTTAAAAGATCTGTTAACGTCAATTTTATGCCCTGTGTGTATAATATGTTTCGCGATAGGGGAGCTAGGTATCCTGTTCTCACCATTAATAGGTTCTGAGGTAGGGGAAATGTCTATACTAACTTTCTTTTGAACACAATAAAGGTTTGAATTCTTCAGATTCATTTTTATGGCCTCGACAATAGATGCAGAAGGAGAACTCGTAAGGCAAAATTAAGAGTAGTGGGAATACGGTTGATTATTTTAGGTGCCTTATTAACATCGACTTTATGTTTAGTATCTATATTTTTATGAATATTATCACTCTGACACATGAATTTGAATTGTAATTCTATTGACCTTGACAACTCGATATCACTTAAACAAAAATATCAATTTTTATAAAATTATATTTGCAAAATCTCAGCGAAATTGAAATGATTAATTCCAACGTTTCGTCCGGCAATCTGGTCCGAACTTCTTCAGGGAAATGAGTCAAAATTAACATAACAGAGGTTTATATATAAAAGGAACATCTCTTGTTCTTAATTGTTTCTCCTGTCATATAAATCATGAAACAGGTATCAACAGGTATAATAAACAAAAATTGTATAAACTGTAATCAAAATTTGACCTCTGACTTTCAAAATTAGTCTACTTTTGTTAGAATATATGTGTATATGCAGTATACAATGGTGTGTGTATGTGTGTGTGTGGGTGAACAGTCATAAAACATTTGTTAGTCTCTCCATAAGAAGACGTAGACAATCGGGAATATGACCAAGTATGACTAATTGTTGATACATATCCAATTTTATTTATTAGTCAAGATTTGCCATGCATGCATCAGCTAACATCACACCTTCACGTCGGTTCAAACTATTGGGATTCACCCATATATGTAGGGCTTCTGCAGTCAGTCTTTCTTTATATAAACCAAAACCTTTCTGTGGCACCTAAGTCTTATCAAAGTCGATTTTGTATCCCGTTTCTATCGAATGCAGTGCAGTGCAATCGCTGAGTTGTTTTCTAGCTTCTTCAAGTCTGCAGATGTCTTTGGAACCACCTTCACTCTTATATTTACCTGTCTGGAAGTTTCTCCCACATATACTGCGTTACAATCCCCACAAATGATCTGATATACTCAATTCTGCTGGCTTTCTTGTTCTATTTTATCCTTAACCTTCACCAGTGATGAGCGTGAAGGTTATTATATGCATATATATTCCTATGATTACTCCGTGTGTGCTGGATCAGATTGTTCGAAATGTGTTGTGCGCGCAAATACATTACAATACGATTCGGACAAATTACATCTTCTTATTACTTTATCTAAATTCCTGAAGGGAACTATTTGTTTTAAAAATATCAATGTTGTCAATAACAGGTACTCTTTGAATATTTTGTATATATATAATACCAGTTGAGGAAGTTTTCAAAAAGAATATCTTCTTCGCTCAATCCTCCACTTTTTTGTCTTCTAAATGTTTAAATTCTAATTCAATACTTTCTTATAGTTAGTGATCCTATTACTCATCGATATTCAATTCACCGTCCATCTTTTAACAACAATACTCCTTCAAAGTGTAATTCCAGTGCTTCTAGAGGTATGTTTCACGAGTTAACTCGCCAGCTAACTAGCCAAATAGCTACCTTCCTACCTACCTGCCTAACTAACTGAATAACTGAAACCATTGGACATTTAACCTCTCATTATATCTATTTTATTTTATATTATTGTCAACTGACAGGTTTGAATTAACCACGCTATAAATTCTTGTGATTGTATTGAGCATACACTAAAAAAATGGATAAAATAACTAATTATACAGTTTGTCTGAAGATATGAATGCCTTTATGTTAACAGTGTGTATTTGTGCACGAAAGTATGAGTGTGTACGTTTGTGCGTGCGGGCGGGTGGGTGGATATACTGCGAGTTAAATATCAATTGATTTCAAACAGCTCATTAGTGCATTGTTTAACCAATAATAGTAATAACAATAGGAAACCAGGAAGCAGTTAGACAGCTGTTTCGTCCTAGCTGTGGACTTTTCAACAACTTCTAACCATTGCCCCATTAGGTATCTAACCACAAACCTTCAGGTTGCAAGATCAAGCAGGTCAAACATTCCGTTTTCTTTTTCAAATAACACTGAATCAATACTATCGAGTGAGTACAGTTCAAAAACAGCTGTAAGTGATAAAATGCACCAACAAAACAATAAATTGACTATAGAAACAATTGAAAGAAAGCAATATACCGAATTTATGAATTTAAAGATTCTAGAGTAGGCCACGGTAGCAATAAGGGCTGGACATGCTTCTTTCCAACGCAGAGCTTGGATTGACTTAAGCGAATTACAATAGCCTTTGCTGCATGGTGTGTTTGTTATCTATAGAGGCCTTTGATAATTTATTCAATACGTGACAGGTGCTAGTTATCTTTGTACCCTGTCATCTAATATCGAATCGCTGATGGTAACGACTACATTTTTGTTGTAGGCACATTGGTAGGTATTCTCAAGGATGAAAAATTAAGTTCTTAAGACAACAACAACAATGTTACTTAACAAAATGACAATACTTCTTTAATTGTAATGGGCATATAACTCCAAAACCTGATGATTTTGATGTGGTTGTGTTCTCTGAGCTGGATAGCTAATTTGCGAAGCTTTCATCGCCACCTACTAGGCAACATCTTCAGCGCATACTACTTCAATTTGTTCAAGTGAGCTTTTAAATTTCTCCAGGATTTCACTAATCATCTCTCCCGGTGACCTTGGATGTGGTTGGCTGTTTTTGTGTGTTTTCACACCTTCGAGGCTACTTCTATTGGAACTGATTGTTTCTTTGACTTGAATTTTGACCCTTTGTGTATGAGGTTTCTTTCTTATCGGTTGATAAATTTTGTAAATTTCGATGTGTCTATTAATTGACGATTCACTGGAATACCACAGACAGGCTTTTAAAAATTCCTTAGCATTCTTGTTGCTTCCTCTGTCTAATATTTGAACGTTGGTTTGATTGTCCCAGTCGAATCGATGTCCGTGTTTGCTTGTATGTAGTGATATAAGGGAGTGGATGTCATGTCTTTTGACGGCTAGCTAATGTTCGTGGATACGAAGACGAAGGGGACATCGTCCACTTTGGCCAATGTGGTGTTTTTCGTAGTTGTTACAATTTATTTTCTAGATGATGTTGGTTTTATCTTCTTTCGCTCGCTGTTGAGTCTTTTGGTTGACATAGAGCCAACTGAGTGAAGTGATTTTGTTGGTTTGTGTACGACGTCAATTCCTAAAGGTGTGAAGAATTTTGCAGTGATTTATAAGATATCCTTTATATATGGTAAGGCGACTTTCTGTGTGCTTTCCTTGGGGGCTTTTAGTTAGATAGGTTGGCTTGAAGGTATATGTCTTTTGATGAAATTCCGTGGATATTCATTCTTTCGAAAGACGTCCATGAGATATCTTTCTTCAATTTTCCTTAAGGCGAGAGTGCTTCAATGAGTCCTGGCTGGCACTCCTAAATAGTGTTTGTATGCAATTCCTTTTGTGTATTATTGGATTGTTGCTGTTGTAATTCAGGATTTGTTCTGTGTGAGTTGATTTTCGATAAACTTAAGTTTCTAATTCCCCTGTGGTTCTTCGCTTGTCTCAGAGACGTCCAAAAATGTAATTTTGTTCTCGAATTCTCTCCTCCACCTGAGCTACAAAACTTCTCTATCATATCTAAAACCTGATGAAGAAGTCAGAACTTTATCATGATCTGATAACGGTTAGGGAACCATTAAAAAACGTGGGAGTACTGGACATTTCTTTCGTTCCAATTTGAACTCTTCGGTTACACATACTCCACCCCCCCCCAACAGGGTTCGAACCCAGGAGCCTCAGGTTTTTTGGCAAGCTCGCTGATCCAATCTAACGGCCCAACCCATGAATTCCAACGTCTGCCAATTCACGATATAAAGTGCGATTGGCACTAGGTAATGTCACCTCCGGCGACTATTTCTCCTCACAGTGAGCGAAATAACTGTCCAGTACTTCCTCATGGTTTCTCATAGGTTCTCTGACCAATGTCAGCTAGTGAAGAAATCCTATACCCAATCAAATCCCTGCAAACCAACACTTGAAAAGAATACATTCTTCGTTCACCAATCAGAGTCTTTCATAAATTTTAATACCCATCTTTAATCCATAATTGTAATAATAATAATAACACCGTTAACATAATGAAACTATTTCAATTTTTAAACAATGTTTTATAACCGTTTAAATAGTTATCTAACAACTTTAATACGTTATATTCATAAAAAAATGTGTATATTATTGAATAAATCAGTTGGCGAAGCATAGATGTATGTACACAGTGTTGACATATTTAGTTTCCGTAATGCTCGCTACATTGTCGTCTAGTCTGAAAAACATCGGTACTTATCATCTTATATAAACATTTATTACAAATGCATACTTCCAAGTTTATTCATAAAGTGACTGACTTAAAACCAGCAGAGAGTGATGTGGAGATGTTTTCTTTTCCGGGTGTATGACTCTTCAAAAGTATGCTCCCAACTCGGCTTGAATCCAGGACCTTCCGTAGATTATTCAGCCATTAGAACCCAATCCAGTGTCCCATGAATTTCACATATCAAGTATAGGCGTTAGGTCATTTAGACTGCACATGTTTGGTATTGATGCTATAAACAAAGCTTAAGTGATTAACCTTTCTCCAAAACTAATTATACAACTTTCTAATACTTTCGCCATGTTCTACTCTATAGTTATGTAATTACATGCAATGGGATGCAATGCAATGGTTATTTAACTTAGCGGTGTCAATCATTCTGCGTCTAGCTAAATTTTTATGTTCTAATAATCTAAATGACCCCGATCTCCTGATTTATTTTATTTTTTTTTTTTTTTTAAAATAAATAAATCTCCTGATTCGAACTATGTAATTGATCTCACAGTCATGACATAGTATTTGGTAAATTATATTACTTGAATATCAATGAGATGCTCACTAGCAACTGGCCCTATTCAGGTAGGGTTCTAGTCGGAATCTGTGACCACTATGGTGCAGCAGGTCGGGTGTGAGGACAAATACTCGCCGAAGACATTGGCTAGAGGTTGCGCTATATCGTGAATTGGCAGAAGTTAGAATTCATGAGCTTGCCATTGGATCGGGTCCCAGTGGCTTAATGATATATGAGCTCACCTTGTAACCAGAGGGTCCTGAGTTTGAACCCCGGTGTCTACGTAATGCTGAAGAGTCACAAACTAGGACGAAACAGCTGTCCAGTACTCCCAGGTTTTCCAATGGTTTTCTAACTGATGTCAGCTCATGATTAAATCCTCATAAGAATTGTTCTGTTTTAAAGGCTCCACAGGATTGATCCTTTAACCGTCAAAGCTTGTTTGTAATTGAGTTTGTGGGTTTGAATGCCACTTTTATTCTTACTTTGTTAAGAATTCTGCATAAGGCTTCCGAGGTTCCTTCATTGTATGGAATTGCTACTAATGATTTAGATTCCTTATTGTTGGTGTCGACATTAATAATATTATTATCACTGTTATTGTTATCATTATTATTATCACTATCGCTACTATCATAATTTATTTTTACATTTCCTTACATATTTCCTGACTAATTTATTAGGGTAATTGTTACGTTTAAAGGCTTCTCTTATATGTGTATCACTTCCTGTCTTAGATTCTCCTTGGTACTACATAGTTTTTGTGCTCTGTCACTTAAACACTTCACCAATCCTATTTTTACTGACATAGGATGGGATGAACGGAAGTCTAAATATCTGTTTGAATGTTTGGTCTTTCTGTAAACACTGCAAATACATGTAATAGGATTCATCACCTGTCCTAAAGGATATCTGGAAAATTTTACTACCCCAGAGACGACAAGTTTCGAAGTCGTGTGATTATAAGTGATGAAATGATTATGAACAATAAATTTTGTTCGAAACTTTGTCATCCAGTAAATCAATACTGTTTAACTGACTGTGTGATATATCTAATAAACAAACTAATATGGAATTACTTAATACCACAGTGCACAAGTTTCACACATATATTAAGATACGTTCATTATACTATTGTTGTGTTACAATGAGATCTACACAGTTTACTGTTGGAAAAATCTAAACAGTCTACCTCCCAGGATCCAATTTACTTCTACAACAGAATCAGACGTCGGCGAGCTACCTTTTTTTGACTGCCTAGTAAAGAGGAAAGAAAACAGATGTTTTAATATATCTGTATCGAGGAAGAAAACACAAACTCCAGGAAATATTTGTACTTTGGGTCATCACACCCCATCAGCGCAAAGATTTCAGTTGTTTCAAGTCTTCTTAGACGAGCACACTCTCTGACTGATAACGGATGAGAAAGAAAAAGAAGAAGAAATATCAAACATTGCTGGGACTCTCAAGCAGAACAACTACCCAAAGAACTTCATCAACAAAATCAACACTGGCGTTAAGTATGGTCGAAAACGTATTCTGAAGAAATGAACTCCAACAGTTGTCATTCCATTTAGAGCAGAGACGTCAGATGATTTCAGATGAGTACTCAATATGCTCGACATCAGAGTTTT